GCGCCCTCCCCTTGGCGCCCTGCAGTGGGTGTCCCCGCGCCCTCCCCTTGTAAGCCTTGTTCAGACACGACCTGCTTATCCGCCCCTCCCCAGCTCCTGCAGAGGGGGGAGCTTTATGCTCCTTTCTGGGATTTATGGCCCCATTTAATCAGTGTTCGTAGGACTCTGTGGGCCAGCCACTCTAGTTGACTAGTTTTTTATGGATATAGTCATGCACCTTAGGCATGCGTGCATGTGCACCCCCTCACACACGCACACACACACACACACACACTGTAAGCCACAATGAGGCATGGGAATTGTGTACAGAGTGTTTGGGGGATTTGCTTCTATGGTGAGAGGGCCCTCACGGGTGGAAGCCCCCACTTTGTTGCCTATAAAACGGGGAAGGTCATATTCCAACCACTTTAGCTTGGCTGTGTGTGGACTGGAATACTGGAGAATACCGAGAAACAGTGTATCGTTGGCTGATACTTGGAAATGGAGAGGTTTGCACAAAGGGGCAGGGTTCCTGGGAACATCAGGCGATCAGGAGCGCCGGGCTTCCTGCTGGATGGACGGCTTCGGCAGGGCCTGGGGTCTGTGGCACCAACACGGCCAGGAGGGGTTTGACCCTGTGGCCCTCACAGAAGTCCCCGGAAGAGCCAGACTGGGTCCTGGCAGTCCTGCAGACTCCATCCGTCTTCTTGTCAGCTTTCCTTTAATTAACTTTTCTTTCCATGGGCCCTGGGACTGCATCCTTCTTCCTGCCAGCGTGGAACTGGCGCTGGGCCGAAGCTTGCCTCCCCACCCTCGGCGGGTAACTCTGCTGCCGTGAGACCAGGGCTCTGCGTGTCCACGCTGCAGGACAGGCCCTTGGACTGGGGGTGGGGGCTGGAGGAGAGAGGCCATCGTGGCAAGCCAGTAACCGCAGCCTGCAGCTGGGGTGCTACCAGACGTGTCACTTCCCTGGGACTTGTTGGCCATCAGGCCCTGTGCTGGGAGGATGGGGCCAGTGGAGGCAAGTGAGGGATGATCTCTGTCCTCGAGGAGCTGCCGTGGAGGCCAGGAGAGAGCTCCATGCTGACTGTCTGAGTCTGCACGTCCAGGCAGCAGACGGGAGCCCAGCCCCACCCTGAGAAGTCTCATGTCTATGGCACAGGCACCCAGCTGGTGCCGTGCCCAGGGAAGGGGACCCCGAGGGATCACACTGGCAGTCCAGCGTGCACCCCTAGGAGACAGGTGCTACCTCTGCCCACAGCTCCTTTCCCAGATGAGCCTGCTGGCCCAACTCGGGCACCAAGCACGCTCCTCCAGGAGCCCAGAGCCGGCCATCCAGAAGTGCGGCCAGTGCTCTGAGGGCTTCCCCGGGGTGGCCGGTGGCTTCCTTGCAGGGGGAGGGGTCTGTCGCCTCGAGCTGCCATCTCTTCCCCTTGGAGGCACCTTGTTTAGTGCCCAGCTCTGTGTCTGTCTCTTACGCTTTACTGGCCCGGCTCTTTGTCTGTCTCCTGACCCTTTACTGGGGACACAATTCAGAAAGACCAGGCTGAGCAGCCTTGCCCAGGTCAATGGTTCTGACTTGTACATGTCCTTGTACATGTTTGAGTGACTGTGCATGTGTGTGTGTGTGAGTGTGCGTGTGTGAGTATGCATGTGTATGAGAATGTGGGGGTATGTGTATGTACATGTGTGTAAGTCATGTGCATGTGTGAGAGTTTGCATGTGCGTGAGTTTGCATGTGCATCTTTGTTAGTGTGTGTGAGTATGCGTGTGTGCATGAATTTGCATGTGTGTGAGTCTGCATGTGTGTGTGAGTCGTGTGCATGTGCAAGAGTTTGGACGTGTGTGTGAATGTGTGTGAGTATGCATGCATGGGCATGAATATGTGTGTGAGTGTGTGTGAGTGTGTGAGATGCCCTCTTCAGCCCATCCGTTCTTGGAGGATGGGAGCTGTCCTGTGTCCTTTGTGTAGATCAACTATGAAGCGAATGAACGTTTGAAGGAAAGGGCCCTGGAACAAACTCAGGTGACACAGGGCTCTTATTCCCTGCAGGCTTTCCTCTTCTCATCTGTGTCATTTCCATGTCGTCTGCCATGGACAGCTACGGAACAAGTCAGAAGTAAGTGTGCGCTTTGCCTTTTCGAGAGGACTCCCCAGGGCTCAGCTCCTGTGTCCCCGCGTTTCTCTGTGCAAGGCTGGCTTCCCTAAGCCCTGGGGGGAAAGGCATGGGGCAGGGGGCGTGAGGGCCAACCACTGTGCTCAGGGCTTCCCCAGCCTTGGAGCTGGCAGCCACAATGTCAGACTCCTCCGGGCATGGTGGGGTTGCTGGTCGAGGTTTCCTTCAGCCATGGGGGCTTCCCGCACAGTGTCGGTCATGCATGGAACCCCGTCTCGGGACCCTGTATTCCTTTCTCAGTGGTCGCATGGTGCATCTTTCATGATAGCTGCTCTGTGAATTACGGTTGAGTGACTCTGACTCTATGAATGTGCACATGAATGAGGTCTGCTGTGTACTCAGCAGGGGTAGGCTTCTCAGGGCTCGGGCGGAGGGGACGCATGTTACGTGGCCCACAATCTGGGGCCACCATTTTGAGACGGCAGCTGGTGGGCCCACAGCTGAATCAGGAAGGAGAAGGGATGGTGCGCACCAGGTCAGGCTTCCAAGCTCCAGAAAGACTATTTTCTGCCTAAAAGAAGACTTGACCTTGCACATCCCAAGAAGCTACTCCCTGTGTCTCCACACTGAGGAGCTCTGAGCAGAACACTGAAACAGGAGCAGCATTGAGAATGAGAAGAGAAGGGCAGGGGCCCTCCGACAGCCTCAGGACGAGATGCCTGTCTGCTGCGTCACTCGCCGGGGGAGTCCAGCCTCTCCTCCTTACAGTGACCATTCTCTGAGGGAACTCATGACGAGAAGCGTGTGTGAGTGCAGATGGAAGGGACATTATTCTGGCCCGTCCTTTCCACCCTGGGTTTTGCAAGTTGAGGGGCTCATGAAGGGAGCAGTGCTCCCCTCGGACTCATCTCGGTGCCGCTCGGGCCATCCTGTCCTCGTCGGGGGCCTGTAGAAGTGTTCTGCCCACAGCATTGGCTCACCATCAGGGTCATCACGTCCAGGCTCCCCGGTCACGGCGGGGAGGGAGGCGGCCCCGCTCCCAGGGTTGGGGGGCTCATGGGTTTCTGAAGAGAGGAGGAGTCGGGAGCCTCATCCTTCAAGTCCTGCAGGAAACGTTGGTGGCATGAGCCTCCTGCGTGGCCTCGTGGCCGGGCCGGGCTTGCTCACGGGGAGCCGCGTGGGGCCGTCCTGCATTTCCCGCAGACGTAGGGTTTCTTCTTCTGGGCTTAGGCAGTGATGCTGGCCTGAGTCATGTCCCCCATCTGCCTGGAGCCTCACAAGTGACCTGACCTGGAAATCGGGCCTTTGCAGATGTCCTGCCTAAGATGAGGCCATGCTGGAGTAGGCTGGGCCTCGTCCAAGGGCACGTGTGTCTTCATGAGAAGAGAAATTGTCGAGCTGGTGAATGGTTCATTGTATGCATTTCCATAAAAATAGAAAATTTAAAATGACGCAATTAAAAAAAAATGAAAAGAGAAGGGATAGACACAGAGGGCAGGCGGCCCCGTGGAGATGGAGGCAGGGCTTGGAGTGATGCCCCCACAGCCCGGGGATCCCCAGGACTGCCGGCAGCCCCAGAAGCTAGAACGCAGGGAAGGCTGTTCCTGGAGCCTTGCAGGGAGCGTGGTCCACCACCAACACCGTGATTAGGGCCTGTGGCTTCAGAGCTGCCCGGGCATCGTGTCAGCTGGGGGGGCCCCAGGTTGCGGCCCTGTTCCAGCGGCCCCGGGACACTGGGACAGGCGTGGAAAGAGGGAGGAAGCCGTTGCAGGTGGGACACTGGTGTCGGGGACTTAGCACTCCAGGTGCAGGAGTCCTCAGGGAGGAGGGGGCAGGAAGACTGTCAGCTGACCTTGCAGGGCCTCAGTTTCCCCACTGCAGAGTGACAGGTGCTGCGAGATGACACAAGATGAAGCTGGGACATGAGGGACCCAAGGGGACCTCTGCATGAGTGAGGACCACCATGAGGGCCTGGCTCAACCCCGGGGCCACTGCAGACCCTGGTGTGAGATGTCCTTGAGGGTTCAGGCTCCTGGCAGCACCGGTGCTCTGGGAAGAGACAGCACTGTGAGGACCAGGCTTTCCTGCCCGAGTTCCCGAGGTCATGTCTCTAAAGCCAGGAGGGGCCCGCAGCCCAGAGGGTGCCTCTCCAGGGCACACCGGACCCCACATCCTGGGGACGCCTCTCCAGGAAACACCAAACCCACATCCCAGGGACACTGCTCCACAGAATACCGGCCCCCACATCCTGGGACGCCTCTCCAGGGCACACTGGAGCCTGAATCCCAGAGGATGCCTTTCTGGAGAACACTGGGCCCAGATCCTGAGAGGACACCTCTCCTGGGACCACCGGAGCTCTGGTTGGCAGCTCTGCTGGTGTATGTGACGGACAGCTGACTGCAGACAGAAGTGGCCCCGTGGTACTGTGGGACCAGTCGTGGACAAGCCAACCCCTGACAAAGGTCCCATCAGGTTGCTGTGTGAAGCTGTGGAGGGAAGGATGCCGCTCCCTGCAAAGGGTTACATTTCTGCCGTGAAATGAGAAGGGTTTGGATTGCGGCCAACTCCTCAGAAGCTGGGATGTCTCTGCTCAGGCCATGGGGCCTCCTCTCGAGGGCACCTTCCTGGGACTGAGGGAGCCCCACACATGGTGTGGTGGGATCAGCCTGGTGCCCCAGCCGCCCTCCTTTAACCCCACAGCCGAGACGGGGTCGGCAGCCAGCCCTGCGTGGAGGCCATGCACCCCGGGCAGTGGGCGGCCCCTGATAAACCTCTGTTTCCTCCACAGCTGCTGGCTGTCCCTGAGGAGTGGCGCTATCTGGGCCTTTGTGGCTCCCGCCCTGTTTGTGATCATGGTACGTCCCTGGCCCACGTGGGCACGAGTCACGGTGGGCACAGAGCTGGTGGGGCTGGGGAAGGGGCCCCAAGAGAGTGCTTGGGGGGTGGAGACAGCACTGGGCCTGAGGGGGGCAGTACTCACTGCAGCCCCACCTCCTGGAGTTGACTCGGTCTCCTGCCTGCCGATGCTGTGTGCGTGTGCGTGTGCGTGTGCGCGTGCGTGTGTGCGTGTGCGCGTGTGCGTGTGTGGTGTCCCCAGGCTTCACAAACATCCCTTTCAGGCTCCAGGTATTTCCTCGCTGAAGAGGCTGGACTAGGGGCTCGGGGGGCCATGGGGCCAGCAGGGTCTTCTTCCCCATCCTCGGCTCTGGTTTTCTCTTCTTGCTGAAAGAGCTCTGGGATTCCGAGGCTGCAGAGGGAATGCCAGTGCGGACCGTAAGGGTATCACGCGCTGGCTGGAGTGGCCCTGGGTACAGGTGGCAGCCTTACACGCTACCAGGCTTTCCCACTGAAGGAGGAGTTTCCTGAGGATCAGGTCCTGGGTGGTGGTGGGCTGCCGGCCTAGTCCAGCGGTGCCACGGCGCAGAGGCCTGGGGACCTGCCGGAGCAGCTCAGCTCCGTCACGCACGGGGTCGCCGAGAATCGGAACCAACTGCGTGACGGCGGGCCCAGGCATTGACAGGAAACGCTGCTGGGGAGCCCATGGAGTCCACACGGAGCGGGGGGCTGCTCTGGTCCTCCCTTACCTCCCGGGGGCTTCTCATATTGACCCTGCCTCCTGAAGGCACGCAGGCTGCCGACAGCATGGCCAGTTCTGGCTAGTCCGCTCGGGGGAGGAACTCCAGGCTGATGGGCCTCTTCCCACCTGGTGTGACCACCGGCCTGAAGGCTGGCTGCCTACTGGGGATGAATCCCTTTCAAGAACATTGTCCTTGGCCCAGGGTTTAGCTGAGCTTGCTGGTCTGTGGTACCAGCAGGGTTGAGCAGGTCTAGGGCAGAAGCAAGCAGCTGAGGGGGACCCACCCCAGCAGGACCGGGGTCGGCAGGCCTCGCTCAGAGCCGTCGTCTGCAGGGGCGAGCAGCTTGGAGCCCAGGCCGCGTGCTCAGTTCCTTGATTCCAGCAGCAGAGACAGGCTGTGGTGACAAGCTATTGAGAGTTAACCCAGGGCTGGACCGCTGTCATGGGGCCACACAAAGCCGTCCGCAAGGACGTTCTGAACCAGCGGTGCAGAGAATCCCTGACGATACTGTAGGAGGCACTTGGTCCCTCTCCTGCTCAGGGCCTGGAGGACAGCCCTCTCGCCTACCAGAGAGTGGACGGGCCCTTAAGCAGCTATCTTCACAGTCAATGTGGTAGTGCACGGCCATTAGGCCAGTGCCTCCAAGTCGAAAGCAATGATGGAACGTGACGAGGGGGTACACATGCATTTTTAAGCCATGATGGAGCATGACAAGGGGCCTAGTTGCATTTTTAAGCCATGACAGAGTGTGACAAGGGGGCACACACGTGTTTTTAAGGATGACGAAGGGCCCAGTAGCATTTTAAGCGATGATGGAGCGTGACGAGGGGGCACACACACATTGTTAAGCAATGACGGAGTGTGAGGAAGGGGCATACATGCATTTTTAAGCCATGACGGAGCGTGACAATGGTCCCAGTTGCATTTTTAAGTGATGACGGAACGTGACGAGGGGGCACGCATGGGTTGTTAAGCCATGACAGAGCGTGACGATGGGCCCAGTTGCATTTTTAAGTGATGACGGAGCATGATGAGGGGGCACGCATGGGTTGTTAAGCCATGACGGAGTGTGACAATGGGCCCAGTAGCATTGTTAAGCGATGACAGAGTGTGATGACGGGCTCAGTTGTGTTTTTAATTGATCACAGAACATGACGAGGGGTCACACACGTTTTTAGGCAATGACGGAGCATGACGAGGGAGCACACGTGTTGTTAAGCAATGACAGAGCATGATGAAGGGGCACACATGTGTTTTTAAACCATGACGGAGTGTGATGAGGGGGCACATGCGTTGTTAAGCCATGATGGAGCATGACAAGGGGACCAGTCATGTTTTTAAGCAATGGTGGAGTGTGACGAGGGGTACACACATGCGTTGTTAAGCCATGACGGAGTGTGACGAGGGGGCACACGTGTTGTTAGGCAATGATGGAGTGTGATGACGGGCACACACACATTTTTAAGCATGGCTGCTGTTTCTCGTTCCCCTTCTCTCTCACCACTTAACCCTCCGGGACCCGGACAGAATTGACCCTGGTCCCAGACATTGACCTGAGACTCAGTGTCCTTAGGGTGTGATTCAGGTAAAACCAGATACAAGTGTTCACCCTGACCTGCCTGTGCTGTCCCCCCATGTGTGTGACCCCGCCTAGGGCCCCCCGAGGCCACACAGAGCACCCTGAGAGTGGACAAGGCAGGTGCCCACTGACCCACCCCAGCATGGGACACTCAGGTCAAGGCCAAGCTCTTGTGAGAACGGGGCCTCAGGTGTCATGGGCTGAAGGACCTGGCGGGCACATTTGTAGGTGGCGGTGGAATCCAAACGTTAATTGGGCATCTCTGAGGCAATACCACGCGCTAGCGCCTCCCTTTCGTCACTGTTGCAGCTGAGGGGGTGTCACTGGTTTGCAGGCCTGTGGCCCCTCCCGCCTCCCCTGAACTCCCCGGTCCTACTGAGCATGGCCCTTGCCTTATGATCCAGAATCCAGGAGGAGGGCTGCAAGGCGTGGACTTGACAGGATGCTCACTCTGTGCCCTTGTGTCTTCCCCTTGACCTTGGGCTCCTTTGGGATTAGCCTTGTTTTTGAGACAACAACATGACGAGGACCACAAGGTGGTGCCAACTCTGTGAACGGTCTCAGGCTTGATTCAGAGGGAGGGGGGCCCAGTGGCAGCCCGGCCCATGGTGAAGCTGTATCCTGAGGCCGGAGGGAGGCCCGGTGGCTGCACAGACCTTGCAGTACAGCCTTTGGCAGAAGGGAGGTGGCACTCAGTTTCCCTGCTGTCACCCATGTGAAGCAGCCCGATCAGGACCTTAGAGAGCAGTCCACGTGGGCACAGGTCGTGCTGGAGCCTCTGCCGGATAACCCCGCGGCACCCCACCAGCCTGTAAGGCCCCAAGGAGGACCTTCTAACAAGTTCCCGGCGAGGAGGGGTATTGGCCGGAAGATGCTGTCCCTCTGCTGTGTCCCGCTGTCGTGGCTTCTGTAGATGATGTGGCCATAGACCTGGGGGTGCAGGGTGACAGCCAGCTGCTGCCTAGAGGCTTCTAGTCCCATCCACCATTGATGTGCACAGGGGTGGTACCACCCCCTTGTCAAATGGGGAAACTGAGGTTCAGAGAACTTAGGTAAGTCTTCCAGGGACACAGAGTGAGAAACGCTGAGGTGAGATTTGAACCCAGCTCTGTTGATGCTAGGAGCCCTGGTGGCACAGTGGTGAAGCATTTAGCTGGTAACCAAAAGCTCGGTGGTTCAAACCCACCAGCTGCTCTGTGAGACAAAGACGAGGCAGTCTGCTTCCATAACGATGTACTCTGTCCCCCCGGGGCGCTGTGAGTCAGTCCCCTCGACACCAGTGGCTGTTCCGTTGACTCTGAGTTTGTCTTTGGCCCCTTCCCTCACTGTCGGGTCAGGAGGTGCTTTGTCTGAAGTCTGTCCGGGAGGAGTCTTGTGCTGTTTCCTCAGCAGCAGAGACACGCTCACTCAGGGACAGTCTTGCATGTTGTCGCTGGTGTTGGGCTCTGACTCATGGCCACCTCGTGGACGGCAGAACGAGATGTTGCCCATCCCGCACCCCCGTCAGTCACTGGTCTGCTGCTGTCCGTGGCTGTGGGCTCCCTGTTTCTGAAGGCTCCAGCCGAGGGGCTCGTCTTCCCGCCCTCTAGCAGACGGTATTCTTTTGTGGTCACGGGTCTCGGGGCTGATTTCCAGGCTCCAGGTCTTCCTTCCTAGTCTGTCTTAGTCCAGAAGCTCCCCTGAAACCGTCCACCGTGGGGACCTGCTGGTATTTGAGATACTGGTGGCATCACCTCCATGCACAGCCACGCGCAGCCACCACGGGCCAACGCGCTGACCGATGGGTGGAGGTTGCGTGTTGTGTTGCCCCAGAAGCCTTGGGGGGTGCCATGCGTGCAGTGGCCCTGGTGCCGCAGCCCCTCGCCCACTGTGGCTTCTCCCCGGCAGGTCAACATCGGTATCCTCGTTGCTGTGACCCGGGTCATCTCTCAGATCAGCGCCGACAACTACAGGATACACGGAGACCCCAATGCCTTCAAGTAAGTTGGCCCCTGGGTGGCCAGCAATGCTCACCCCACACAGAGCCCCACTGGAGGCATGCAGACTCCTCGCCATACCCCTCATCCGTGGGTCTTCCTGGCCCAGCTCCTGGGTTGCAGCCCTGAGCCCAGCCTCGTGCCTGTGGGTATGGGAGTGGTTGACCAGACGTTCTCCTGGGGAGGAGTCAGCACAGAGCGGGGTGAGGGGTACATCTGGAGTAGACTGTGCCCTTATACCTTGGGGGCGCATAAGCCACTTAATCCCCCATCTCAGGGCCCTGTGACCACAAGGGACAGAACACGCAGTGCTCACTGGCCTGGGCAAAGGGGTCTCATATACCAGGGGCCCGTGACCCTGAGGGTGTGCAGGGACTGACTGGAGTCCTGTGGGACAGTCGTCCCTGGGGCCAGGGTGCCACCCTTGGGGGCGACATATGCTCGGTCACCCCTCCAGGGGACAACGGGGTGCAGGTCGATGACAGCTCCTCCCCTGCTGGTGCAAACCTGGGGGCTCAGCTGGGGGCTAGGAACTCTGGGGTCACACCCCCACCCAGTTGCAGTGGAGGGAGCCCACCAGGTGCCTGGACCTGAGCCACAGGATCTATTGGCTCTGCATACAGTCAGCACCCCAATCACTGGGACAGAAGTGAGGGGGCTCCTCCCTGGAATCAGGGTCCTGGGCGTGAGGGAGGTGCTGACCCCAGCCATGGAGATATGAGGACAGCACCCTGGGTTGGGTTGTCTTTCCAGAACCATCGGAGCGTGTGGCCAACACGTGGGCGCCTGTGAGCGGGGCCAAGGCCCCTTGAACACTGGGCTGGGCTGGGAGTGAGGTGGGTGGTGGGGGCCGAGGCCACACTGAGATTTTGGTGTGGACGGTTGTTTCCAGGAAACACAGTTTAGGCTGAAATATTTGAAGGGCAGCAGCCTCCAAACGTCCGAGGGCTGGCAAAATTAAAGTTGCTTTAGTTACACTCTGTTTTTCCTGATCTGTCAGAAAAACAGTAAATACGTGTGCAGCAAAATCAATGAGGTAATTATCGTGTAATGAATTCCAGACTCTGGGAATTCAGCCGACACACGGCCCCAGCCCTGGGGCTTGTCCGGCCTCAGGAGGCCTCTGGAGGGCTGGGCCCTGGGGGGACGGCGCTCACTGGGCCCTGGCGTCTTCCTCTTCCACCGAGAGCAGCGCAGTGGGAAGGGAAGAAGGCCACGTGCTGTGGTCGTGTGAGCGGAGAGGGAGGCCGTGGGATAGGACACGCTCCCCAAGCTCCATGGGGAGCCAGCTGGGAGGCGCCCAGGTCTGGCCCTGACACTGTGCCCCCAGGGGCCTGTCTCGTCAGTGCCTCCTCTCAGGGCCACAGCCGGTCCCGGAGCATAGTCCCGTGGCTCTCAGACACGTGCCAGGAAAACAGTGTTGGCACGACACTCATTCCCGGGCTGCAGAGACAGGCAGGGTGAGGGGTGGCTGGAGGGCCGTCTCTGGCTTCTTAAGCCTTGTCCCCTGCCTCCAACCTCACGGTTTTCTTGGTGCCCAGCAGTGGGAGGTGCGGTGTGGAGATGGGGGCTGCTTCCCGATGGCTGGCTTCTTTAAAGTCTGGATTTGTCGATCATGAGCACAGACTCCGCAGAAAGAAGAGACAACCGTTCAGTGTGCGAGTGGGACCCAGGATCCTAGCGGGGCGGTGATGCCCCGTGGAACACACCCACGGGCAGGGGCGGGAGGTGGAGAGCCTGCAGGGGTGAGCCTCCCTGGCCAGGGCCAGCCTCAGGGAGGGGCAGAGCTGTCCAGGTCCCCACATGGCACAGGGACCACGTCTGCCAGCTGTCAGTGAAGCGGACACCGCGCGCTCACAACCTGTGTCCGAGAGCACCTCTTCACTGAGCTCTTTGTGAAAGACAAACTGTCCCTGTAAAGGTGGCAGATTCTGAGCCTGTCTCCCGGGACTGCTCCTTTCAAATACTGTCCCCCAGGGGTTCCCCGGGGGTTCCCGGGGTGCAGGCTGCAGCGGCATCATCACGGCTCCACCTGTGGAGACCTGGGTTCACTGTTCGTTTCTCGAAGCGCTGGCTGCAGGCCCACGATCCGAGCGGTGAGCGGCCGCTGGTTTCCTGGGATCTGATGCAGGAGCTGGTGGTGCCGGGGCTGGGGGCATCAGACAGGGAGCTCGTGTGCGGACACCTGCCCCCATGGGCACTGCCCTGTGGGCTTGTCATTCATTCACTCATTTGTTCATTTCTCCTCGTACTCAGCAACCCCGTACTGAGAGCCTGGGGTGCTGGGGCCTGCACTCTGGGCACGTGGGCACCCCTGTAGGGCTGTGTCTGCCCCCGGCATGCCATCCAAGGCCACCTGTGCACCTCTGCCCAGCCCAGCACACCCTCACCGTGTGTGCACCCTGCCCTGGTGCCCCTGCCCTGTGTGGCCCCCACCCCACATGCCCACTGCTTGTCTTCCAGACTGACCGTGAAGGCCGTGGCAGTGCTATTGCCCATCCTGGGCACCTCGTGGGTGTTCGGGGTGCTTGCAGTAAACCACCAGGCCTTGGTCTTCCAGTATGTGTTTGCTGCACTCAACTCTTTACAGGTGAGCGTGAGGGGCCACCCCAGAGGTGGGTGTGCAGGGGCGGGGGCCTGCAGCTGCCCTGACGCAGCCCTGGAGCCAGCTCGGGCGAGGGCAGTGATGGGGTGCACCAGGGCTCCGGGCAGAGAGGGTGGTGCTGGGATCTGCCCTGTATGGAGCAGAGAGACGAGTGCCCCCCGAGGACCAGAGGCTCAGGGTCCCCTGAGTCTGTGCTCCCAGAGGGGGGCCGGCCAAGGAGCCTTCGTTGAGACAGCAGCCGGGGCTGGGTCCTGACACTGCCTCACCCGCTGTGGTGACGGCTGCCCCTGCAGCTGTGTCTCAGGGGTCACTGCACAGCCTCCAGGTGCATGGCCTGTGGCACTGCCCGGGCAGCGGACACGTGGTCTGGCTGTGTCCCAACACATGTGAGGGCTTGGGCTCCCCCTTGGGGTAGGTGGTGCACGGGGTCCCCGTGGATGGCGGTCTCTGTGGAAGGCCGTGCTGGAGTCTGACCCTGAGCTGTCCCCAGAGATACCCCAGGGGTGCTTGTGATCAGCACCCCAGTTACAGCAGAGCATGTGCTCTGATGAGTGATGGTCTCTGTCCTTGCCCTCCCGCTCCAGGACTGGGCCTGCCCCCGACGAGCCTGTGTGCCCCCACCTGTCTACCCCTTCGTCCAATCAGCGTGATTGCTGGTCATGCTGTGTGCATCTGGGTTAGGTGATGAGGGTCTCAGCCCTGCAGCCTCCTGACAGGTCGTGCCCACGCCCCAGAGCCTGCACAGCTGGGGCAGACGCTCCGCAGAGCTGTGCAGCAGAACGTTCTAGCACTCTGTTCTCCTCCCCCAGGGCCTCTTCATCTTCCTGTTCCACTGCCTCCTGAACTCAGAGGTACGTCCACCCCAGCTGTGTGCGCAGAGTTGGTGTTTGTCTCTGAACGACCATAGTGCAGGAGCAGTGCTGCCTGGCCAGCTGGGACACAGCCGAGTCAGCTGTGGTCTGGGCGGCTGGGCGTGGTAACGTCGGGCTTACTAAGTTGGCCATGCTGTAGGTGGCCGGGCATGATGATGTCAGGGTTACTAGAGCTGGCCATGCTGTGGGTGGCTGGACATGGTGATGTTGGGGTTACTGGAGTTGGCCACTCTGTGAGCGGCCGGGCGTCATGACACCAGGGTTACTGGAGTTGGCCCTGGTCTGGGCGGCTGGGTGTGGTGACGTTGTGTTTACTAGAGTTGGCCATGCTGTGAGCGGCCAGGCGTGGTGACGTCAGGGTTACTGGAGTCGGCCCTGGTCTGGGTGGCTGGGTGTGGTGATGCCGGGATTACTCGAATCGGCCATGCTGCGGGCGGCCATCCATGGTGACATTGGGGTTACTGGAGTTGGCCGTGCTGTGAGCGGCTGGGCGTGATGACGTCGGGGTTATTGGAGTTGGCCGTGCTGTGAGCAGCCGGGCGTGGTGACGTCAAGGTTACTGGAGTCGGCCCTGGTCTGGATGGCTGGGAGTGGTGATGCCGGGGTTACTCGAATCGGCCTCGCTGCAGGTGGCCAGGCGTGGTGACATCAGGGTTACTGGAGTTGGCCGTGCTGCGAGTGGGCCGGGCGTGGTGACGTCAGGGTTACTGGAGTTGGCTGTGCTGTGAGCGGCTGGGTGTGGTGACGTCGGGGTTACTGGAATTGGCCGTGCTGCGGGTGGCCGGGCGTGGTGACGTCAGGGTCACTGGAGTCAGCCCTGGTCTGGATGGCTGGGAGTGGTGATGCCGGGGTTACTCGAATCGGCCGCGCTGTGGGTGGCCAGGCGTGGTGACGTCGGGTTACTGGAGTTGGCTGTGCTGTGAGCGGCTGGGCGTGGTGACATCGGGGTCGCTGGAGTCGGCCCTGGTCTGGGCAGCCGGCTGTGGTGACGCTGGAGTCGGCCGTGCTGTGGGTGGCCGGCGTGTAGTGGCCAAAGTGGCTGAGTGGTGTTGGAGCATCCTCTGTCCCCGTCAGGAGGCAGAGGTGGCGAAGAGAGCTGAGCTGCGGGAGGGAGGCCCCGAGACCTCGCCTGGTGTTGGGGCTCCGTGTGGCACTGGGCCTCCCTGGGTCAGGGAGCCGCCTGTCTGTGGGGTCAGAGGGAACCTCGAGCCCTGGTTCCAGGAATCCTGCTTCCTGGCCGCTGGCGCAGGTGCGTACTCTCGGCTCAGTGCAGTGGCCCCTTTGCTTGGTGGTGGGGAGTCCGGGGGCGCTCAGAACACACCTGTCCCTCAGGGTCCCCTCCATCTTGGAGACCGTGGCAGTGAGCTGACCGAGGGAAAGGAGGTGACCATGGGGTGCCTGCACAGCCCACCACTGGCGGCCAGTGCAGGCAGGGGTGGTGCCCCCCACAGGAGCTCTGTCAGAGGCCACGGTGGGGAACCCCTGGAAGGTCAGAGCAATGTCTGCCGGCAGCAGGGAGAGTCTGGCCAGAGGGCCCCAAGGTTGGTGGCTGCTGGGGGCCGTGACAACCACAGGGAATCTGTCATCCAGGCGAGCAGGTACAGGGCGCAGGGCATAGGATGCGTAAGGGAGGCAGGCTCTAGGCAGCGGGAGGTCTGCTTGTTCCAGTGACGGTGGTTAGTCTTTGGGTTGGACATCCTCACTGTCCTTTTCCAGATCATCCTACGCCACGAACATACACTCACCACCCCCAGGAAACCCCCAACCCTGTAACCGATAAGAAGCTTTGCTTTCTAAGTCCTTGGCTGGTTTTGTGTAAGCAGGACCGCGTGGTATCTGCTCTTCCGTGACGACTGATTTTGCTCTGCATGATGCTTACAGGATTCCTCCAGGTTCTGGCACGCCCCAGGACCCAGCTTCTCCTCACAGCTGCATCGCTGCCGTTAGGTGTGTGCGTGACACCTTGTGTCCTGCTCCTCTGCTGGTGGACGCTGACGCGGTCTCTACCGTTAGGTGGCTTCCCCTTTCGTGAGCGGTGCGGTGGTGCACGCGGGCAGACAGGCTCCTTCAGGCTCACACCTGGGACTGGGGTGCCGGCTCGAGTCCACTGTCAGAGGAACCGCCACACTTTCCCACAGAGGCTGCCCCGTTTTACATCCCACCGGCGGCAGAGGAGGGTCCTGGGGCTGTTTGTAAAACAACGGAATGTGTGCATGTTTGAGTTTGGTGCCGGCAGGCTTTTGGGGCGAGGGGGAACGCTTATGAAGAAGTAAATGAGTCGGCCAGTGCCCAGAGGCCGTCTTGGCCCCTTCTGTCTTGAGCGTGTCTCCTGGACGTGGGGTCAGTGTTCTGCAACTGAGCCCTTGCCAGGCTGCAACCAGAGGCAGTGCCACTGGGGGCAAGTGGGCATCTGACAGAGGGCCCACCTGGGTCTGGGGCCATCAGTCTTCACGTGGACACCAGGAAGAGGGAGGAGGTGGGTGGGCAGGTTAATGAGGCCCGTGGAGGCAGTGACACGGGAGGGTCATGTGGCTGCACAGACCAGGGAGTGGCCTGGCAGCCTGAGACAAGGGTGTACACGGTCAGAGGGCTGCCTGGCCGGCCCTGTGTGCACATGCGTCTCTTCACGTCCTCCTTGGGGTCCTCAGTGCCCAGCACTGGAACTGTGCAGAGGCCACACCAGGCCAGATGCTTGTCCTCATGTCGGTGGGCGTGCAGGGGGACACAGCCTGTGTCTGCCGCACGAGTCAGTGCCCCCAGCTCCGCTCTGTCCTGCTCTGGGCTCTCTGCCCACCACCCTGTGTTCGTGAGACAGCAGCCGTTCAGTGGCGGGCTTCCCACCTTCTGTGCAGGGACCTGGGGACCTGGGTGTGATTCCCAGTCAGTGGGCCTCGTGCCTCCCACCCGCCCTCTGTCGTGGAGGCCTGTGTGCTGCTGTGAGGCTGAGCAGGTTTCACAGGCGCTTCTAGACTAAGACAAACCAGGAAGAAAGGATTGGCAGCCTGCTTTCAAACCCTGTGACTGACAGCAGTCCTGTCTGATGGTGTGGCGGCCCAGAGCTGGCACTGTTCCGTTCTCTCGTGCCCTGGGTCGCCGTGAGTCGGAGCCAGCTTGCATTCACCGTTGCTCTCTGATCCTTGGACTTTTCGTGCCCTGAGCCGCCACCCTGTCCTCCTTTCTAAGGTGAGAGCCGCTTTCAAGCACAAAACCAAGATCTGGTCCCTCACCAGCAGCTCGGCCCGCAGCACCCAAGCGAAGCCCTTCAGCTCTGACATCGTGAGTGCCGTTAGCGCCGCCGTGGCCCTGCGTCCTGCTTCAGCCTTCTGAGTGCTCCTCCCGCCCGTGCTCACCTGCTGTCTGACTGCTGCCCAGGGCTCCGTCACCAGCCAGCTGGCCCGAGGCTGCCTCCTGCTTCCTGGGACACTGGTGCTGCGGGCTGGCCCTTAACCTGCACTCCGCTGTCCTCTGCAGGCGTGCGCTGGGCCGGCAGCTGTAGGTGGGGTCTGCGGTGCCTGCCGGGCTCGTTCCACTGTTTATGCCGGAGGCATGCGTGCAGGCTCCGTGTGCACGGGGCTGGGCCCCTTGTGGCAGTCCCCAGGGCCAGGGCCTCTGGCGCTGGCATCAGCTGACCAGGAGGCAGAGCCCGGCATGCTAGTGGAGCCCCTGAGGGACCCAGGAGTCCCAGCACAGCCCTGCCTCAGGAGCGTGCGGTCTGCACCAGTGCCCTCCCCGGGACACCGGAGAGATCGTGTTCCCGGGTCAGGGGTCTGAAGAACCTCTCACCCTTCAGTACCTTCCCTGCCTCACCCCTGCTTCTCAAGGACAGCCCCACAAAGTGGCCTCCTACCTGCCACTTAGGCCCCTGTGCAGGGGTCTCCAGGAAGCCCCCCAGACCGTGCCACTGAAGGGTGCCCCACCCCATGTCATCTCCTTACTTCTGCCACCACCTGGGTTGGTTGGTTTGTTGACAGCCAATGTCTGCCCCACCCCCCACTGGAATGTAGACTCCATGGGAGCAAAGATCTGGTAGATTTCATTCCCACTGTAACCTCATGGCCTACACGGGGCTCAGCACAGGGCATGTTCCACAAATAATCATCAGATTATGAATGAACAGATAGAAAGATGGATAATGAATGAGCAGATGAATGAATCGGTGAACAAATGAAGAGATGAATGAGTGGATGGATGGGTGGACGAATGAGTGGATGGATGGGTGGATGTGTGGGTGGATGAGTGACTAGATGGGGAGACGAATGAGTGGACGGACAGAGCATGGATGATGGATGAATGGACGGATGGGTGGATGGATGAGTGATTATCTGGGTGGATGAATGAGTGGACGGACAGATGGATGAATGCATGAGTGAACAGATGGGTGGATGGATGACTGGATGGACAGAGGATGGATGGATGGATGAATGGACAGATGAATGGGTGGATGGATGAGTGATTATCTGGGTGGATGGATGAGTGGACGGACAGATGGATGGATGCATGAGTGAACAGATGGGTGGATGGATGACTGGATGGACAGAGGATGGATGGATGGATGAATGGACAGATGAATGGGTGGATGGATGAATGATTATCTGGGTGGATGGATGAGTGGATGGACAGAGGATGGATGGATGGTGGATGAGTGATTAGATGGGTGGATGAATGAGTGGATGGACAGATGGATGGAT